CATCAGATAGGACCTGGAATGGTTCAGCAAATTCAGTCTGTGTGCATGGAGTGCCAGGGCCATGGAGAACGGATCAGTCCTAAAGATAGATGTAAAAGCTGCAATGGAAGGAAGATAGTTCGAGAAAAGAAGATTCTGGAAGTTCATATTGACAAAGGTGAGTTCTGTCCCCACTTCTCATGATGCAGTCTTGAATACCATGACAGGTTCATTAACACTACCTAATTTTTGATTAGCTATCTTTAGGTTATGCATGATCCTATTGTGAGATATAATTCTTAGCTACATAGTCAACGTTCTTCCTTTCAGACTTATTTTTTGCACATTTGTGTTACTCTTAAGAGAATATTTTAGGGATTGCCTTACAGGATCATCTTTCTAATATCCGTGATGATGTAAATGATTGAATAGTGTTCCAAATTAAACTCTCCGTTAAACCATAGTTCTTTAATTTAAAAAAAAAAAAAACACCCTCTCTACAGATTCTCTTTTTTTTTGAGACAGAGCCTCAAGCTATCCCCCTGGGTAGAGTGCCTGTGGCATCACAGCTCACAGCAACCTCCAACTCCTGGGCTCAAGTGAGTCTCCTGCCTCTGCCTCCCAAGTAGCTGTGACTATAGACGCCCACCACAACGCCTGGCTATTTTTTGGTTGCAGCCGTCGTTGTTTGGCAGATCCGGGGCTGGATTCGAACCTGCCACCTTAGGTGTATGTGGCTGGTGCCTTAGCTGATTGAGCCACAGGCGCCACGCCTCTACAGATTCTTAATTTCCTTAGGTGAAGTGATGTCCATACTTTGAAAAAGCTCTTGGGCTTAGCCAATTCTCTTGCCTTAGTCTCCCAAGTAGCTGGGACTACAGGCACCTGCCAGAACGCCCGACTATTTTTTTGTTGTAGTTTGGCCGGGGCCAGTTTCAAACCCAACACCCTCGGTATGTAGGGTGCCAGCCTTGAACCCAGCCCCAGCCAAACTGCAACAAAAAAGTAACCGGGCATTGTGGCAGACACCTGTAGTCCCAGCTACTCAGGAGACTAAGGCGAGAAAATCATGTAAGCCCAAGAGCTGGAGGTTGCTGTGAGCTGTGATGCCATGGCATTCTACCAAGGGCAACAAAGATAGACTCTGTCTCTAAAAAAAAAGAAAAATTGTATAGACTAAACCTGCCACTTCCTACCCTTTAGACTCCAGATTATAAACTATAAAACTTGGGTTGTTATTTTTATTTTTTTCCATAGGGTTTGATTGTTTTGTCAATTTTTAATTTTACTTTTGTTATGAAAATATTTTAAAATGTACAGCGGTACATTATATTCATTGTAGAAATAACACCACAGAAAATTTCAGTCTCTATTTCTGTGAAATGCGGTAATCATCTTTGTAAGTTTACTAAAATGAAACTAGTATTCTGCTGAACTATTCGTAGTATTTCATTAACTTGAAACTCTGTTGGGGTTTTTTTGTTTGGAGGGGGCTTGGTAGGTTTTGGAGTGTTGTTTTGTTTGTTGTTTGTGAAGATGGACAGTGTCTCTTATTTCTGGTGTTGTCATCATAGCTCTATGCAACCTCAAATTCCTGAATTCTAGGCATCCTCATTGCTCAGCCCCTCCAGAGTAGTTAGGTCTAAAGGCACAGACAACCATGTCCAGCTTGTTTCTCTATTCTATGGAGACAAGGTCTCACCATTGAGTTTAAGTTTTTAGGTCTTTTTTTTTTTTCTTTTTTTGAGACAGAGCCTCAAGCTATCCCTCTGGGTAGAGTGCTGTGGCCTCACAGCAACCTCCAACTCCTGGGCTCAAGCGAGTCTCCTGCCTCAGCCTCCCAAGTAGCTGGGACCACAGGTGCCCGCCACAACGCCCGGCTATTTTTTGGTTGCAGCCGTCATTGTTGTTTGGCAGGCCCGGGCTGGATTCGAACCCGCCACCTTAGGTGTATGTGGCTGGCGCCTTAGCCACTTGAGCCACAGGCGCCAAGCCTTTTTTTTCTTTTTGAGACAGCCTCAAGCTGTTGCCCTGGGTATAGTGCTCTGTCATCACAGCTCACAGCAACCTCCAACCTCTTGGCTCAAGCAATTCAATTCTCCTGCCTCTGCCTCCCAAGTAGCTGGGATTACAGGGGCCTGCCACAATGCCCGGCTATTTTTTTGGTTGCAGCCATCACTGTTTAGCTGGCCTAGGCTGAATTCAAACCCGCCAGCTCAGGTGTATGTGGCTGGCCCCTTAGCCACTTGAGGCACAGATGTGGAGACACTTTTTTTTTTTTTAAGAAACAGAGTCTCACTTTGTCACTCTTGGTAGAATGCTATGGCATCACAGCTCACAGCAACCTCCAACTCTTGGAGGTTGATGCTCATTATTAACAGTTCAGGTTGAGTGCAGTGGCTCACACCTATAATCCTAGCTAGCACTTTGGGAGGCTGGGGTGGGAGAACTGAAACCAGAAATTCAAGACCAGCCTAGGCTGGGTTGGTGCCTGTAGTTCAGTGAGTAGGGCACTGGCCCCACATACTGAGGGTGGCAGGTTCGAACCTGGCCCCGGCCTAACTGTAACCAAAAAATAGCTGGGCATTGTGGCAGGCACCTGTAGTCCCAGCTGCTCGCTAAGGCAAGAGAATCGCCTAAGACCAGGAGTTAGAGGTGGCTATGACCACCGCAGCACTGTACCTAGGGCAACAAAGTGAGATTCTTGTCTCAACAACAAAAAAAAAAGAACTGAATAATTTGTGGAAGAATGGATATGGTTGAGTTTTGCTTCAAAGTATGTGGGAACAGTGGATAGAGGGTATAATACATGAAATATTTCATGAGTTTTAATAGCCACTAAATCTAAATTGATGAATATATAAGAATTAATTATACTGCTATAGGTTCCATTTATCTAGTTTTAATATTTTTTATTTAAGAAGTGAAACGAGATTGCTCATTTTAGGTGATCATTGGTTCAGGAAAAATCAGAATGAGATAATACTCCACTGTAATTGGCAAACACAGGTTTTTTTACATGAGTTCTTTGAAGAGATTTTGTTCATGCCTTCTGTCATCTGGGCTAGACTGCAGTGGTGTCATA